GTGTTGGTAAATATTAAATCCATTCTGTTCATTTCAACGCTTATTTGTTGTGTGTCTCCTAAAATGCTCGAGTCGTTTTCAAGTTGACATATGCTGTCATTAATAATAGAACTAGTCTTTTTTCTTTGTGTAACATTATTATGACTTGGGGAACGATAGGTATCAGTTACATTTAAAATGCTATTAGAAGCCAAATGCAAGTCGCATATTGGCGTATTTGTGTTAGATGTTTTAGGCATCTTACTTCGACAAGTTTGACATAACCAACTTTTTTTCCGCTCCGGTGACATGGTGTTGTGGAAACGCTGAATACTAACATTTGCGCAATCCAAGTCATAATGTTCAAGGCATCTAAAACAAATGAGATACTGTTTATTGGTAATAATTTGTAAGCATCCACCGCATTTCAATTTTGGTAACGCCATCTTTAGTCACTTTGTATTAATCAATTTTTAATGATCGATGATTTGCGCCCTCTTGTGTGGAGTAGTGGAAAAGTGGAGTAGTGGTAGTAGTGGAAATTAGGAATTGGAATACCAATATCAGCCATTCGGAGAGTTCTTATAACTATCGTAAGATGATTTCGTTAACACTTGTGGAGAATCTGCAGCTAGAGGCAAAATATAGTCAGGTATTGATTGTGCATTATCACAATTTGGTTGTATGGGAAATGGCATTGGAGTTCTCTCATTGCTATGTAAAACCACTGCGTTATTATCGCTATCAATTTGACCTGTAGTTGCTTGCAAGAGTGAAATACTTTTACAGTGATTGCCAGGCGTCCAAAGTTGTTCGTAGTCGACCAGTGCCTCTAGCGCCTTGAAATTCAACTCACTTATTCGTACTGATGAATCAGAATTAGAAATATGTAATTTAAATTATGCTCTTTTTCCTGTAAGGATCATTTCATTTTAAGTTGGTCGCTTAATGTAAATACCAATAGAGGGTTTTAATTATAATTATGATTAAATAATAAATCTAAAAAACTGGCCTGGAACAGTGTTTTGTACTTGGATTTGGTTGGAATTACTTCCATTTTGACAAAATTCAATACGTTGAATGATCTTGTATGTCCTTTACGCATCTTGAAATAGTAGTTACACTTATTCACTTAAAATATGTAACGCATAACCAATAAATGACAAAAGACAGGCGCGCGGTCAGCGCGGGCGGCCTAAATAATCGATAGTCCTAGTTGCGTCCGGCTCACTTGCTTTCGCGCGCTTTCAGTTCCCGTCTAAACGGATGAAAGTTAAAATACGCGAGTTTAACAAGGGAGCAGTGGCAGACATTTGATACTTTACGTGTTGCTAAAATGAAAACTAATAAAATTGTATGTTTTATTGTTTTCCCAATCGAAAGATAATAAATACTATTAAACGCAGATTACGCTAATTAAAAAAAAATGTTTTTAAGTTTCGATTGTATACGTAGGGACAGTCGATATGTAGCACACTTTAGGATTATTTGCTAAATAACTAAAGAGGTAATACACCTAAATAAGTGAGCTTGACGCGAGTATGGTGTTTGTGTTTGATTTTGTACGGAACCGTGCATCAAACCAATGTATTTGATCGAAGGATATTATATGTTTCTTATTATCAAAATTCCATCACACGCCCCGTTACACGACTTATGCTTTCGTCACTAAACATGAAACACAAAAGTTCGTCGTAGAAAATTGTACACAAGGTTGGCTATTGTTGGTTTTCGTAGATGCTGATATCAGATATAATGATTTGATTTGATGAACTGCGACACACGGTTTCCCTAGTGCGGGGCTATGTTGAGTGTGTGCGTTATTATTATTATTTGTATGAAAATGTAATTGGACTAGCTGTACGGCAACCATTATTTAACCATTTTTGTATAAACTACAATCCTATTTAATAATTATTCATTTTTAAATAAATGTTAAATATCTTGTAATATTATGAAGGGACAATTCGACTCATTCGTAGAACAAAGATCTATGTGCAAGACTACTTGTTCTTAGGACATAGTATATTACGTTCGTTCTTCTTCGCCGGGCATGTCAGATCGACTGTTGCTCGATTTTATATTTCCGAAATGAAATAAGATATATAAATTCTCAAAACACCTTTATGTAAGCCTTAGTTTGAATAAGGAAATTATTCTCGTAACTTATTTTGTTTTTGTCGCTATATAATCACATCGGACTCTTTTCTTCGGATGAATCGAATTTTTTTCTTTACCTATTTTGCACTTTTCACTCAACTGCTACGTCTCTCTTACACGTTCTTTGGAATATTAATGTTCCTAGAGTTAATTGACTCGCGTATTCCAACATCTTAAAGTGCAGTGGTTTTCGTGATCAAGTAATTACGCACATAGTTGAGCACATTACAGTAAACAGTAAAACTTTTGCTCCAGCTCTACCTGCTCTAAGTGTACTAAATATTTATTCAGAACTTGAGTCACATGAATTTTTACAAAAACGTATAATGTAATCCTTTCCAAAGCTATACGTCAATTTAGTTCCGTCTCCATTCATTTAGGTTCGTCAGGAGCCAATTTCGTTGTCTACATTAAAAAGGTTCAAAACAATATATTCACTAGGTCTACTATCTATCAGTAGGTCAATAGATTTTGAACAGTTGCTTGACCAATTAATGGAAAAATAATGTTGAATAATATGTATAATAAGCTGAGGTATTGTTTTGTACGTTGATCACTCAGAGATAGTTGTCCATTGGCCTTGGTGTAGGAACATCAGTGCAGTACATATCAGACAGTATAATTTATTTGTGTTTCTGTTTAAACGTCCCCGTCAACCCAAATGGGCGTCAAGCAAGTTTGATTAAGAAAATAATGTTTTATTTTTAACCGATATAAAAAAAAGGAGGAGGTTATACGTTCAGATGTATGTTTTTTATGTATGTTTTTTATGTATGTTGTCTGGCTTCTCCGTCAATTGTGGCGAGTTTTGAGTTTTTTTTGTTTAAAAGGGTGCATTCTCGAGGTGGTCCCATTGTCACCAAGTCAGAATCTGATAAGGCAATCCAATGAAAATCGAGCAAAACCCTCAAATTGTACAGTGTATTCACCGATTTCTTAGAATTGTGGACCACTTTTGAAAATTCTTTTTTTAAAAGGTACACAATCGAGGTGGTCCCATTGTCACTAAGTCATAATTGGATGACGGGATCCCATGGAAACCGAACGAAATCTTCAAACGTTACAGGCATGTACATAATATTCACTGATTTCTTCGTCAATTGTGGACCGATTTAGAAAATTCTTTTTTTTTGAAAGGGTATACTGTCGAGGTGGGCCAATTGTCACGAAGTCAAATCAGGGAATCCCATGGAAATCGACCAAAATCCTCAAAAGTTATAGGCATGAACAGTGTATTTACCGATTTCTTCGTCAATTGTGAACCGATTTTGAAAATTCTCTTTTTTGTTGAAAGGGTATATTAAATCAAAATCAGATGACAGGATCCCTTGGAAATCGAGCAAAATCCTCAAATTTTATAAGCATGTACTATCTATTTAACGATTTCTCCGTCAATTGTGGAGCGATTTTGAAAATTCTGTTTTCAGATTGAAATAGTATATTCAAATTCAAATTCAAATTCAAAATAATCTTTATTTCATAGGTAAGCATTATTACACTTGAAATCGTCACAATATTAAACTCTACCGCTCATTCGTAAGGCAGATTCCCCTGAGAAGAATGAGCAAGAAACTCTAGGGGTTGCTCTTTGTAAATAACATTTACAATATATTTTTTTTATTATTTGAAACATCAGAGATCGAGACTACCTCCATGAGCTAAACGGGTTACTACCACGGATTTTTGTCATCCAAGTACGCAGAAGTTGTATAATAACCTTTAGTATAAAGTTTTTGTTTCACTATAGTTTTAAACCTCGTGTAAGGCAAATTTATCATATCAACCGGAATCTTGTTATAGAAGCGTATACATTGCCCCTTAAATGATTTTTTGACTTTGTGAAGACGACTATCAAGAAAAGCTAGTTTATTTCTATTCCTCGTATTAATGTTATGTCTGTCACTATTTTTCATAAATAAATTACTATTCCTTTTAACATAAATTACATTCTCATAAATGTACTGTGAGGCTAGTGTAAGAATGTTAATTTCCTTAAACTTATCTCTCAAAGATACTTTGGGGCCCAGATTGTAAATTGCCCTAACTGCACGTTTCTGCAGGACAAAGATTCTGTTGATATCGGCGGCATTACCCCAAAGCAAAATGCCGTATGTCATTAGACTGTGAAAGTAGCTGAAGTAAACCAATCTAGCGGTTTCGACGTCTGAAAGTTTCCTTATTTTTTTAATCGCGTACACTGCAGAGCCGAGCCGTTTTGATAACTTACTTATATGGGGACCCCATTGCAATTTAGCATCTAACGTTATACCTAGAAATACAACTATATCCATATACTCTCGAGGTACTCCCATTGTTACCAAGACAAAATCTGATGAGGAGATCCCATAGAAATCGAGGGAAATGGTCAAATTTTATAGGCATTTATAGTGTGTTTGTTGAACTGTTACAAATCAAAAGTTCTCGGATAGGCGTGGACGTCTTCATTTTTCCATTTCTCGTAGTAAAATAACGGGACGAGCAGACCCCGCACTTGATGATGGCAAGTGCTTGTAATTGTCGAAAAAACGTGTATTGGGCCTATTTGAATAAAAATATTTGACTTTGACTTATCGTCAGCTCAGCAGCATGAAATGATGACCGCAGGCCGCAGAGCCAAGCGGCAGATTGTTTTGTTTCAAGCCGGTGTGAAAGATATGGTTGCATCGTACTCAACACTACATTAACGTATATATTATGTATTCAATTCGTTTGATAGAGATACACATTATCCATCTATGCCATAGTAAATCTCAAAAATATGTTGTGGATGGATATTATCAGGTTGAACCATTTTAAAAATGCACTTTAGCTAGTTCCCGTTTTTACCGTAAGGCCAATTTGTAACATTGAACCAAACTTACCAATATGTTTGCTCTCATTAAAAGCTTCCGGGATCTTCCTTGTGAGCACAGCGTATACTGTGCACACGATGATGAGAACGATCGGGTAGAAGAAGGCGATCATGTAGCTTGCATCGACATACGAGTCGCAGACCAGCATATTGTCTTCTCTCGTTGGATAGTGGAACATCGCCCGCGCCGGGGCTACGATCATCCACACTACTACTATTAGTACCTGAAAGAAGAATAGGAATGGACTCAGTAACGTTTTGGAGCTTTCATCACATTGACATCGATGTCAGCAGTTAATCCTAGCTACAACGGGCCAAACAGTAAGAAAATACGCCAATCACCGATAAATTTAATGGTTTGATAGTTAACAAAGAACGAATGAATGAATTAACTGCCTCCGTGGACGAACGGTTACCATCCAGCCGGACTGCCACGCAGAGGCATTTTTGAATTGTAATGCAATTTCCTATTATTGTTAATCCGCCTTATATTAATGTACGTATCGTCGGCTCCACCTTAAAAACGTGTAAAAGAAAAACTGCAACTTTTAGGAGCGATTTAAAACTTAAAAATTATGTTACTCATTTGTGATTGGACATACTTAAGTAATTAATAGATTCAGGCGTAACTTTGCGGAAGTCTATGTTAATAAAAATGTAAATAAATTAATTTGCTACTCCACGAACCCTATGAAGTTTTAATCGTGCAAAATAGCCACACTTGTGTTGAATAGTTTTTCATGCAGTTAATTTTCCCACCCTCTCTCTGCATAAAATTGATAACACAAGCACAACTACAGTCACAGACACCACCACCAAAATTATACCCGACACGTGTTTCGCCTCTGTATGGCGCATCCTCTGGGGCTGTTGATTGCTCGATGCTCGGCCGAACAATGAGCTCGTTTTTTTTGAAAGACATTGCAGTTGATCGCTGATAGCCTTGACTGCGCCACCGGATAAGAGGGCCAGCTGAAGGCTCTCAACCCATCATATGAGCGCATTCAGAACGATTGGTCGTATTTATATCCCGCTACCCCCGGTGTTACTATTGTAGAAACCCGAAAAATACCCGTAATAATGGTGACGACGCAACATTCAATTGTTCATTTATTAAATTTATTATACATCCCCTGTTGTTGTACCTAATTATTTCCATCTGTTCTAAAACACCCAGATGCACTCCTTTTTCGCAAATTGATATTGGACATACTTAAATACAATGTATGGCCAAATTAAAGACAAAAACATTATATATTATGCTATAATGTGGAACATAAAAATGTTGATAGTTTATCAGAAATTAATAAAAACCCTTTTAAATTTTTATTCTAAACTTTATGTAAACAAAATTGATGCCATTACAAAAAACATTATACGAATAGTCAAACAGTGAAAAGGGCTAAATATTAATGCAAGATGATCATTTTGTATTGTTTTTAAATCGTGTGCATGTACAAACAAGATATTATCAAATTAATGCCAGGCTAAATAAGTAAGTCAGTCGATAGAGCACTATGGGTATTTATTACTATAAAAAACGGGGCACAGAGATATTACACAGATACTACGACGTAAAAAATACTTATAACAGGAACTAATACAGAATTACAGCAGAAAAGACGCGCGCACATGGAAAACTCCTTCTAACTGGAACCAGTGTTAAACGCGGACTCTTGGATATTAACTGGAGCGCGCGGAGGTGCGCGTCGGTAATCATGCATAAACGGAAGTCACAGGAAGTCCTTTCGTTATTACCATATTTGGTCATGAAAACGTGATATTTTGGCAAAACAGGGTCGGTGGTGAGAAGCGCCATCTATTTTCGCAAATACTAAACTAGTTACTCGAGGATGGATGATCGTCGCGATATCGGGTAGGAAGCTTGCGAGTACGCTTCGGGCGCATTAGATGGGGTTGACTCACTATAAAATCACATTTTTATTTAAAACATCATATTTAATAAGATAATCGCAAAAAACTGTTTCCCGTCGTAAGATTTGCTTATCCCATTGGCAATATTTCGGAGATCAACAACCTTTGGCTATCCTTTTTGTTTATTAGTTTTTTTTTGTTTGTTACATAATATACAATACAAATACTTTTAAGCAGGAGTGTGAATAATTTATTGGTATAATACTATTACTACAATACTTTATTAAATCAAATATAGTTCTTATTAAGAATAATAAAATTAAGATAATAAATTGGTTCATTACTAAATAGTGTTAATTACAATGATTTACAAAATTAAAGTCAGTTTTTGATCGATTGGAATGGATAATGGGTCAGGTTGTCGGGTTGCATCCCCACCAGAGCATTGCCGCGATTTTCTTCATCCGGTTTTTGGCGGTTGTTGTTATCGAATGTGCTTCTAGCTGCGTACGCGTCGAGTTGTTGAGTTTTGTTTTGTGTTATATTTTTTGTTAAGTTTTGGTTTTACTCTGTTGTTACGTTTGTATTTTATATTGTATTATTTTATCATTCGAGGCAGAAAAAAAAGACCACGCCCTGTGATGTCCATACCAGAGAAGGTTATTGTAATCAATGGTCTTTGTGCGAGTGTGTCAATAAAACTTCTGTTTTCAAAATTGTCGCGTTAACGCGTAACTAGAAAGGCCTATAGCCGTTTCACTTAGCGATTTCTTTATGTTTAAAAATAGTTAATTTGAATAATTGCATATTAATTTTATACCACTACAAAGTAGAAAGTGTTTCCTACAAAACTCAAGAATCAGTTTTTCTCGAACTTCACGCATTAATGAATTACAACTAGAATCAGTTCAAACATAATTTGTCAACGAGCGCAACGGATTATCGCAGCGAACGGTAAGCGGGGACGGGTGAATAACCGACCGCTAATGACCCCAGAGTGACATCACGCACGACACATTTGCTGTTACAACCTATAGCAAAATTTCGTCAGATCATCGAAGTTGCAGTTGGAACAGTGGAAAGCGTGCCAGACTTGCATTTAGTAACCCATGGTTCAAAACCTGGCCACCAAGATTTTGTTTTATTGTTGCAAATTTATATGGTTCTACTTTTTTTTTTGCTTTTTCTTTCTGTTGCTACATATTTGGTACCATTTAATTAAAATATTGCAATTAATAAACACAGAAAGCACGTGAATAGCCCATGCAGATATTTCTTTTGTTGACGACCACTGTGCATTGACAAAGACTCGCAAAATGGTTCTGGTACTGTGTGCTAAGTGCAGGCGCGAATTTAATTCGCGAGAGGGCGTGACATGCTCATTATGCAAAAAAAATTTCGAATTCGACTGCGCGGGTATCTCAGAGAAATTGTATTTTCTAATGGCCCCCGGGAAAAGGAAGACCTGGAAGTGTAAGCCGTGCGCGCAGTTGAAAGGCACCATAATACAATCCAATGTTAAAACCCGAAGGCAACGCACTGCAGCAGCAAAATCAAAGAAACGGGAGAGGGATGTTCAAGTGACGAAAAAAATCCTCAGGCACAGTCCAGCCCTTTAAATATTCCTTGTACTTCACCTCAACAAATTGTAAATATCAATGAAATCAGCCATAAGTCCACAAAGTCACCTCCACAAATAAATGATTCTCACATCCTTAGTGATGATGAAACCCTTTATGATTTATATGGAAATAATGAAATTTTAACTAGAAGCTTAGTAGACATAGCGAATCATAATAGTCTTATCGAAGAGATGAAAACTGAAATTGACGCCCTGAAATCGTCTTTAGGAACTATACAAGAAGAATTGGAAAATACTATTTTGGAAAAGAACGAAATGGAAAGAAGAATCAACAAACTTACAAAAGACATACAAGTATTGAAAAATATATGCCAATCCCCAGTAAAAACAGTGAATAATGATTGTGAAGTTAAAAGACATACTATCAATAAAAGCATTACTCGCTCCAGCATAACAGCAACACCACCTAGGAAGACTGAACTAAATAATCGTGAAACATTTGAACTCGAGAAAAGAGTTTTACTTTTACAGCAGGAATTGACTTTGGCTAAAACTGAAATCGCAAACCTAAACGGGGAACTTGACAAGTGTTCAAAGGTTATCAATCAAAATAAAAGTGATAAGAGTTACTATGAGAGAAGTATACAGAACTCCAGTGATAAACACCACAATCCTGAAGCTACATTAAAACAAAATCCGAAAATATTTATCTACGGCCTACAACAATGTAGAGGATTAGCTGTGGCCTTAATCAAAACGAAGACAAATACCCAACAAGAAGAATACAATGTGTCTTCATTTATTAAACCAAATGCTTTCTCGGAGGACATAATCAGAGAGATACATCCACCAATTATACATTCACGGGACAGGGTCATACTAAGCATCGGAGAGAATGACCTAAATCCAAAACATACTGTGAATCAACTCAGAAAATGCCTTCAAGCCCTCGAAAACAAAACGGTTATCGTTCTACAGGTCTTAAGAAGTCGCAATGTAAATACCTACTACTTGAACTCTAATATCGAGCGCTTGTGTAGTCAGTTTGTTCATTGTCACTTTATATCGTTAAATAATCATGTAAATTCAAAACAGTCATGTAAAAAAATATTATGCACCATAGACCGCATTGATTATGATAGGAAATTCTTACATAATAATCTACAGAATTGGCAAGCTAAAGGCAATCAATTAATTTCCGGGAATTCAAAAGATGAATCTATACATACACTCACTTTTAATGAATTACAGAGTACTCCAAAATCCGATTTTTTTCGATCCTCAAGGTACTATTAAAAGTCAACTGTTTTTTACGCTATTACACCAAAATATACATAGTATTTTAGCAAAAACAGAAATTTTGGAAATGACCATAGCAGAATTAGAGCAATCAGGATGCGGTCCGGATGTAATTTGTCTGACCGAAACGTTTGTCTTATCCGGGTTTGAACAATATATTAAAATACATAATTACAAGTTAGCATCATCTTACTGTAGGAAGACCAGATCAAAACGAGGGGGCACATGTATACTGGTTAAAAACAATTTAAAATACAGAGAAATAGACTTAGCGAAAAAGTACGCAACTACTAACTCATTCGAGTGTTGTGCTGCTGAACTACCCAAAAACAACTTAATAATCATTTGCATGTACCGCATTCCTAAAAGTGACCCAGTCGTGTTTCTAGATAAATTAGAATGTCTCCTAAATGACATATATTCTAAATATAAATACAATACTAAGATTATTTTGGCAGGCGACACAAA